AAATGAAAATAAAAGAGCACATGTTCAATGTGAAAAGTGACCGTACAGTAGATAGATTATTTCAGTTTCGATTTGGCGCTATATATATATATATATACAAAAAAAACACCTTGAGTTTCAGGGGGGGCGCGGGGTTCCGTTGGGGTTGCGCAGCGCCCCCCCCAAGACAATGGTAGGGGAAACACTGCTACTACTAGTACTTGTACATGTTAATGCAGCAATAAAAATCTTCACAATGCCTCTTATTACTCCAGGTGCTTCCGTTCGACGACAATGTGTGTCTGCGTGAGCCGTGCCAGAACTACATGAAGTGCATCTCCGTGCTGCGTTTCAACAGCTCCGCCCCCTTCATCTCCTCGCCCTCCATCTTGTTCCGGCCAATCCACCCCATCGCCGGCCTGCGCTGTCGCTGCCCGGTTGGCTTCACGGGTGATTACTGCGAGACGGAGATCAACCTGTGTTACTCCAACCCCTGCCTGAACGGGGGGGTGTGCGCCCGCAGAGAAGGAGGGTACACCTGCATCTGCCGTGAAGATTACACCGGTGAGTAGTGTGTGCTGTCGTTAGAGACTGTGCCTGTATTTCTGATGCTGTGGCAAAGGTGAAAGGATAGAAAATCTCGCCATGTTTCTTTCTGGGTATAAAGGAATACATTGAGTGTCTGTGTCTGCACCTATGAAGAAGATACAATAAGAGAAGTGTAGGTGTTGTGAAGGTGGTGTACGCATATTGATTGTAAATTAAAGTGCTAGTTTGTACACTATTTCATATGTTGGCTCTTTTTCATTTCAAATGATGGGAAATATTTCATGCAATTTGATGAGTGCAAATACCCTAAAATATATAGTAATACCTCGAACTGTCCTTGATGTTGATCACTCTGGTTAGCCACCTTGAAGTGTCTTGTCTACACGTTATTGGTATTGATTGACCTTTTCCAGTGCTTTAATTAAACAGTAGTTAAGAGTCCAATAAGCATTCAAGAGCCTGCAAATTAACAGGTCATTTATTATTTAGTAGAATGCTTTTAAACACTTAGTATATACCATGCAGGTTATAATGTCGGCTCATGACACAGAAACACCGGGCTGAGCAACATGGCTTTTCCAATTTGAATCGAAAACACCAAATTAGGCAGTTGAATAATTTTTTTTTACCTCTACTTTAGATATTGTGTGTGTGTGTGTGTGTGTGTGTGTGTGTGTGTGTGTGTGTGTGTGTGTGTGTGTGTGTGTGTGTGTGTGTGTGTGTGTGTGTGTGTGTGTGTGTGTGTGTGTGTGTGTGTGTGTGTGTGTGTGTGTGTGTGTGTTTTGTCTTGATTGATGTAGTCTTTAACTCCAGCCTGGTAAACTGTAACTGACTGACTGTGTCTCTTTGTACATGTCCCATGTTGGCTTCCTTTTTGATCCGCGCTGTTTTGACTCTGTTGAAACATGAGAGCACACACACTGCCTCCTGGGAGAGCTTCCTCTTCGACGGCTCTCTACCTGTTACTTAGTCTTTAGAAACACTTCTACGTGGGCACCACATACACACACAGACACACAAGCCACCTCCACCGCTGCCACCATAAACCCCTCACTTTGTTTTACTGTCGCCAAAGTAATTTGTTCCCTCTATCACACACTCACAGATTTAATTATTTCTTACTTTTCCCAATACTCTAGACCTCACTCTTTCACTCCCTCTATTCCCCCCTGTTTTCTCAGCCCCTTCATACTACTGCATTTCTCCAATATTGTAGCCATTGAGTAGGTTGTAGGAGAGGATAGATGCTGTAAATGTCAGTGTGAGTGTCTGGGGGATGTTTCACATTTCCTTTTATTTCAGATCAAAAGAGAGCTGGGGGAGTGAAGCAACACTTTTCTTTCACGAGCGAGACTGAGTCTTTTCCAAACTCCCACTGAAAGAGACAGAGAGAGACAGGAGGATAAAGAGATAGTGGAATCAAGCAAAGTAGAAATGGAGGTAGGAAGTCAGTTAAAAGGAGAGAGAAAGACAAAATGGGAAATGATGGAAGGAAAGTGAAAAGGAGATTGGAAAGAGATTGTGAGGGGTAAGAGGAAATAACTGGGATATTTGGCAGTATTAGTGACAAGTTGTTAGTCAGGAGGGAAATGTGTTGAAATATTTTAGTCATGATTCAAAAAGAAGAGACACTTCCACCAATGTTTGATCTAGAATATTTGCTCCATTGAGATTCCTGTGGTGAAGGAACCAAATTCTGTTAATTTGAGTCTCACTACGACCCACGTCTGCAAACAACCAAACCTTGTATGACAAAAAATGACAAATATCAGCCAAAGCTTGTATGACAGATGACATGTCTAATTTTTGTTTTCTAAAACTAACTAACTGCAAATTTGGACATACATCAGAATACAGTCTGGAAATAGGGAATGTAGATCAGTGATTGTATAAGACAGAATAATCGAAAATAGGAGGTGCAGATAAAAACAAAAAAACGTGTTAAAGGTGGGACAGGAGAGGGAGGGAGCGCCAACAGCGGAGCATGAGAGATGAAGGAAAGGACGGAGAGGCAGGTATGACAGCGAAACGAGAGACGAGGGAGACAGTGAAATCAGAGAGAATACCATGGAAGGAGGGCTGCAGGGGGAACATGGGGTAGGAAACATCTGGGAGCAATGAGAGAGAGGGTTGGAGGATGAGGGTTCAGGGAAATCAGACGGGTTCTGAGGAGTCGGCGTTGTGCTCTTCCTGCGTGGGCGCCGGGTGTTGCGGTGTCTTGTCAACGCCCAGGGCTAGTGGGAGGAAGAGAGAGAGGAGGTGGACAAATAAACAGGGACGGATTGATTCTGCAACACTCAGAAATCTCCAGACATCTCACTGCCAAGTTTGCTTTCTACCTCATCCATTTCCATCCAACCTGCCTTCATCCTCTATCCTTTATCCATATGCTCTTTGTTTCTTTGAATCCTTTTTCTGTGAAACTATGGATTGCTCTCACAGGCAGGAGCTTAGCCTGGGGTTTTGACCTGAGACTGTACACTTTCTTTTCCTACTCTGTGAGAGTTGTTTCTGACGCTTGAACTGTAGCGTTCAATAGACTTGTGTCAGGTGTGCTTTGGAACAATTGTTGGTGTAATGTTGGGCGGCTCAAGTCAAATGTTTTGAATGAGAAGTACAACCAATTCATAAAGGGAAATTACGCCCTGCTTGCTGACATTAATATTCGTTTTAGCTGACTTTTTTCAGTGCCTCACCAACACAGTTAAGTACAATAAAAAAACTCCCCATTGCTCCCCGGGCGCTGTACAATAGCTGCCAGCTCCTAGAATTAGGATGGGTTAAAAGCAGAGAACAAATGTCACTGTGTGCTTAGATGCATAAGTGGGGTCAAAAATGACCCCGAGGGTTGTTATTCTTCAAAATCTCTGAAATTAAAAGTTTTTACACTTCCATATTCCAGGTATTCCTCATAAAACATGTTTGTGACTTGAGGCCATTTGAATTTTTTTAAATGTTTTTATACATTTTAAGAAATTGCAGTTTTTGTGTCACTACCCCAGTTTTTCATAAGCGGGGTCAAAAATGACCCCAAGCATTTCCTACAGAATCTCAAGGGTTTGCTTTGGGAACCTTTGATTCTTACCAACTGTGACTGTCAGGATACATTTTCTGTCCCACTTACACATCTGATGCCTGCAGTCTCACAACCAGGAGGTCAGTTTGACACAGCAGCATACATGTAAGTATTATCTTCATTTAACAACTCCATGACTTTTCTGTGATAGAGTATCATGTTGGACAACAAAGTAGACACTAGTTAGCTAACTGCTAAATAATGTTAGTAGTAATGTTAGTACTCTGTTAGCTAGCTTACTAAGCTAGCTAACATTACACTAGCTTACTAAGCTAGCTAACATTACACTAGTTTAGTAAGCCAGCTGATATTACTGCATTTGTTGTGTAGAGACTCACTGTATTCATAATTGGGATGAAAACAGCCAAAAGAAAAAACAGAAATATCCTCTCTACAACCAGACGCAAGGAGTGTACGATAACCGGACCAGATGGTTTGGCTACTACACTGCAAGCGCCAGACGACCAGAGTGGCCCATGGCTGTGGTAGCAACATGATTGAATACGCCACTCTAAAACCGCTACTCTTTTTCAGGGTGGCTCGAGCCTGAAAATGAGTAGGCGTTTAGAGTGGCTATATCAATCATTGTACCACGCACCATGGCCCACCTCTGTTCTGGCGCTTGCAGACTCTGTAGCTAGCCAACCCATCTGGTCAACGGTACTACACCTCCTTGGCCTGGTTGGTATAAAGGATTTATTTCTGGTTTTTCTTTTGGCTGGTTTCATCCACCTCTTGCGGTGGTGCATTGTGCTGACAGCTGGCTTACTAAACCTAGTGTAATGTAGCTAGCTTAGAAGGCTAGTGTAATGTAGCTAGCTAGTAAGCAGCACAGAGTACTACATTACTACTAACATTATTTAGCAGTTAGCTAACTAGTGTCTACTTTGTTGACCAATCATGATACTCTAATCCAAAAGTCATGAGTTGATAAATGAAGATAATACTTACATGTATGTCTGCTGTGTCAACGACCTCCTGGATTGAGACTGCAAGCATCAGATTGTGTAACTGTGACAGAAAATGTATCCTGAGCAGTCACAGTTGGTAGGAATCAAGGTTCCCAAAGCAAACCCTTGAGATTCCTGTAGGCAAATGCTTGGGGTCATTTTTGCCCGCTTATGAAAAACTGGGGTAGTGACACAAAAAGTGCAATTCTTAAATGTATAAAGCATTTAAAAAATTAAAATGGCCTCCAAGGTCACAAACATGTTTTAAGAGGAAATACACCTGGGAATATGAAGGTAAAAACTTTTAATTTCAGAGATTTTGAAGATAACAACCCTCGGGTCATTTTTGACCCCCTTAAATGGTCATCTAAGGGAGAGCATCTTGCAGGTTATTTTTCCTTACATTATGCTTAAACTTGTCTTGAAATTAACAATTAAAAAAGAATGCTGGATTTGAATAAGTTTTACGAGACATAGGGCCAGGAATTCAGAGGAAAGGAGCAATTGTTGAGCTCTGCTCTTAAACGCTTTTTTTATAGTCATACGTCAAACCGCGTCATATAACATCACAAGGGTAATCATCTCCCTGCTCTCTGAACGGGTATTAGTTAAGTATTC